TCTCTTTACAGAGAGTTTTATGCTCCCAGTTTCCCAGGTAGTGGCTGCCAGCGTGAGATGCATTGTGTCTGGGTAGGGGAGTGCATGCACAAGAATTTTGAACTACAGGAACTTGCAGTGGGATTTTAAAAAATCCTTAACTAATGAAGAGCTTAAGGCCCAGCTTTCAAAATAAGACTGCTTTCAAAATAAAACTGCTCACTGCCAGTCTTTCAAAGGAAGCATTGTTTATTGGTAACTAGAAAGTCTGTTTTGCTGCTGTAAGCTGCATCCATTTTATTGCTCTCACATCTGTTACAGCCTCTGTAGCTCTAGTAGCAAAGTGTCCCTGCTGTGGATTTGGTTTAAGGTGCAGTGATGATTCCAGCTGAAGAAGATATCATGTCACGAGCCAATTAAAACAACTATAATATCACCTAGTTCAGAAATAAAGCAATGCTCCATTTAAAAAACTGTCTGCAAATCACTGTTACTATCTTTCTGACTCAAGTTTGGAGCTTTGAGTTTATCTGAAAACTGTTTGGTCTCTTCATCAGAGTTCAGTAGACTGTAACATACAGCAAATTGCAACTGTTCATAGATTATTCAGTGATGTTGAAATTTCACATTTAACATCATGGCCTGTTGTGAGAAACTGATACTATCTTGAGAATCTCTTACAATTACTTTAGGAACGATGTGTTTATTTCAAGTGTAAAAGAGTTTTCATTGTTATGTTATAAAAAATCATTGGCTACCTTAGAATTGTTTGGGGATTTTTCTCACTCAGAATAGTGCAAGGTTTCCCTCCAGTGGCTGAAAACCATGCAAATTATGTGAAAGCATAATGTAGTATCTAGTATCTAGTTTTTATAATCTTACATTGCAAGAGATGCCCAGGAGTGTCAGACCTTATATGTAGATGTTCTTGCTCTTTAGATTTAACGTGTTTCTTAGCAAACTAAATGAACATAGAAATATGCTGAGAGCACAATGCTGTCACTCATTTACACATTGTTCACTTTTTTTCCCCAAAGGTCATGCACTTTTTCATTGTTGTGGGCTTGTATTGTCTTACTGTAATGGAGAATATGGACCCATTTATGTCAGTGCACGTAACCAGTTAGCTGAAATTTCTTTCTCAGGGGTTATTCTCCAGGTAACAAAAATATTTTGTTATTTCATAGCAGATTTCTATGTTTGCAGAGAATTAAATTCTCGCCTTTTTTTTTTTTTTTAACTTTGCAGACTGCTTTTCTTATGAGGCACAACAGCAGGTAATACATGGGGCAAAGAATCACAGAATCCCCAAGGTTGGAAAAGACCTTCAAAATCATCCGCAGTCCAACCATCCACCTATCACCAATAGCTCTCACTAAACCATGTCCCTCAATACAAAATCCAACCGTTCCTTGAACACCTCCAGGGTCGGTGACTCCACCACCTCCTTGGGCAGCCCATTCCAGTGCTTGACCAATCTTTCAGAAAAGTAGTATTTAGCACATGTACCCATTTCAGAATTTCAAGTTTGCTTGCTGATAGCAATTTAGTGACTAAAATCAGCAGTGGGCAGCTTACAGTGGCTTAAATCTTGGCTTCCATAAGGAGGTCTGCATGGAGGCTGGTCTACGGTCTTTTTCGCATTCAACATTATCTACCAACAAGAGATTCTGCAGTCACCTTCCTTGCTTCATAAAATCCTTTGTCCCCCTCCCCAGACATCCCCATCATTTGTCATCAGGCAGAGGAGAAGAACAGGGTTGGGATGTCTGTACTGCAGCAGCCTGCATGAGTGCTATGTGTGGCTGACCATCTGTGTGTCCTGTATGTATGTATGTGTGGTGAATACGTGCTCAGCCTTGCTACTGCCTAGGCACAAAGCCACAGCAGCCTTGCTCATATCCAGATTCAGCATATCCTGATGTCTTCACCTCGAATACTTGATTTGTTATCTTGATCAAATGGTACAAAAGGCAGGATAACATTCTTTGAATGAATATGGCCATCTGGATCCTTCTTGAAAAAAGATCCAAAGATGCTAAAGGAATGTATGGGCTGCCAGACTTCGGGCTAGGGCAGGGAAAAAGCCAAGGCACTGAGCACCCCTTGGTATGAAGTTGTCTGTTCAGCTGGACAGACACCAAGAGACTGGTGTCAAACACAATGCCTTTTTCTCCTACTATTCTCTCCCTTTTTTGTTGTTTCCTTTTCTTTTTGTCCCTTAACTTCTACCTTGTTTTCCCTTTCACCTGAGTTTCTGCTTCATCTGAGAGCCTGTATATGAGATGAGGGAAAAGGAGTCTTGATATGAAAACTACATATGACAAGAATCTATCTGGAAACTCCAGTATTATTGATAGCTCTATTCCCCCAACCCCCAAACTTCTAGGTAGCTATTTTTGGAAATTATTCAATGTTTTGTAAAACATTTTGTGTTAATGTGTATTTTTCATTATCTCAAGTCAAACATTTCCCAAAGCATGCAGAAGTTAACAGGAATTAATGGTGCTGCTTAAAAGAAAATTATCACCACTGATTTAGGTCTTTCTGTCCTGTTCATCCATATGCATCATGCCTATGACTGTTGCTCCACTCTTGGTAACAGAGTTAAGTAAAAGAAAAAGAAAGAAAATTTCAAATAATAACTTCTAAGAACAGGGCTTCACCGGGGTACCTGACAGCTCTCAAAGCTATCAGTCAAGTTAAGTGGCTTCATTTGAGGTCTTCAGGCCTGAGTGCTTGTGGTTCACTTCCTACTTCTACATTCGGGCTCCTCAGTAGAACTGTCAGGGCTTTTCAGTTAGATTTCAGTCTGCTTGCAGATAAAAATAGAGATTCTGCACAAACAATTAACCAGCCATTCATCAGCCTGTGGTGCTCTTCCCTGTTTGCTCCTGCTGGCTGCCAAGGTGCTCTGTGCCAACCTCACAGGGAGCAGCTGTTGACTGCTTTGGCCACATTTACTGAAGAATGACTTCGTTGCCTGGAAAAGAGGGAGGCTCCCAGTGGCTTTGTTTGAGCCATGCCTCCACAAGACCCCTAGCGACCAGGGCTGTAAACAAGCTGCTGTTTCTCATTGGTAATCCCCAGCAAGTAGAAAGGAAACATGGAAAAGGATCACAGTAGAGCAAGTTTTAGCTCTCTGTTTCTTATCTAAAGTCAGCTATGAGCTGACTAGGCCACGTTAACTTTTATAAACAAATTTCTTACTTGTTAAACCTGCATCAAGGACATATCCCCCACACACACCTCCTGAGATTACAATATAATGATGAAAATCAACTATGATGAGCAGTTACCAGAATTTCTTGGGATGAAATCTGATATTGTGAAGTTAGTCAGTCAGTGACTTCTTAATCAGTGCCCAGGGTTGCAAATCTTTTCCTTGCTAACAGCATCAGAGGGGCTTCCTCAACTCTTCACAGTTCTTTAACAGCATTCCAGTAGTTGTAGCACTAGAAGTGAGATATGAGGTTGGAGAGACTCTTAGAGAGCACGTCTTGTTTTCAGAGTCTGTCTTTCATAATTGTCAGCTTACATTTGATCATTTCTATTTTGGAGAAAGTATGACCAGTACATGAAACTTCCACACCCCTAATGCAATATGTGATATCAGTAAGTCAGGGCACTAATGGCCTTGGTATCACCCCCTCACTGATTAAAGTGTTTTTCTAGCAGCTTGCAGCTGTTTAAGTGCTCAGCACTTGAACTCTGTATCCAAGTAGCTTCAGTGACTACACCTGTTTCCTTTTCCCTTTTTTTTTTTTCTTCCTTTTTTCTCAATCCTCTTGTAGATTCATTCTGTTCAGTTCTCATTTTAGTGCTCAGGCAGCCTGAACTTAGTTGTTTTACATTTGTACATTGCTAAAATGTTTCTAGTGGAACTGTAGATTACTCTAAAAGGAATTTAAGCCTGCACATATCATGTTTCCTAGCTACACAAGTTTGGTAGGCTGTGTATACATGATACATAAACCACTTACATTAATGTAGGATGAAGGCATTAAATCATTTTCTTGAGAATGAAGCCCTTTAAGAGTCCACATATCTTACAGAGTGCAAGTAAATTATCTTGAATGCTCCCATAGCAGACAAGATAGGGAAGCTTACTAGCTTCAGCTGCTGAAGAAGACACACCTACCCCCAATCTTATAAGGTAAGTAGCAAACCTTCATCCCTTTTTCTACTGCTCTGACTACTCGTTACCAGCCTTATGGAAAATGGATATAAGCTGCAGCAGCTTTATCTTTTTGAGATTAATATTCTTATAAGCAACCTAAACATCAAATAGCGTTCTAGTGAGGCTTCCTTCTCCCCCCCCCCCCCAATGTTATTTGTGTTCTCTTGTTTTCTCCTATTATCCCCCCTTTTTTTCCCTGGTGCCTTAGACATTGAGCTACTTTCTCTAAACTTATAGGCTAGAGATTTAGCTGAAAGACAAGGTCAAGAAACTTGATGAATTCTTTCGTTGTTTTTGTTCTTATTGTAATCAGAATCTTACATCTGTTCCTCTTCTTTTTTTCTTTTTTTTTTTTTCCATGAGACCTTAGAATTAAATAGTGGGAAGGCAATAGCACTACTAATCCATTTTAGTTGATGGAAATATTGTTATTTTATAGTTTTCCTTACTGTATGTATCCTAGCTGTGTTTTATTTGTATATATATACATAAAAGCTGCTTATTAAATCAGAAGATACTCTCCATTCAGCCTGGACTAAAAAACCAATCTCTTGGATAAAAGAAAATAAATTATAAAAACATCTGACTATGGGATTTACCATATCATTATAACACATTTGTTTATGATGGTTTTTGCTGCATATCCCTAAAATGGATTTCAGAAAGCAAGGCTTTTAAGGAAACAGACCATATGTTACAGCAGACTGTAAATGATCGAACAAGCATGGCATCATCTTCCAACAAAATAATTCAACAAAATAATTCTTTATCCTCAGCTTTGGTTGAGTGACTCACACTCAACCAAGTGACTCCTTGGTTGTCACTTGTGACTCCTCACAAGTGACTCCTCCAGTAAGCAGCATTCACTTTTTACGGTAATATGATGGTCAACAATAATGACTCAGTAGATGACTTGGGCCATGACCAAGATCTTCTGCATGCAAGGCAATTATTTGGACAACTCTGATTTGCTTCCTCAGAAGTTAGCTTGCAGTGTAACTGGGACTGGAATTAATGATGCAGAAACGCTGATTCCTCCTCTGCTCCCTGCCTCACAGCCTGGAATGAACCAGGGTGCTCCCACTGACAAAAACATGGAACAGGTAAATTTGCTTTAAGTAAACACTGAATTTATAATTGCGTATTTCTTACGTTTGCCGATCCTCTTCAGGAAGAAATTCTTCAGGCTGCTAACATCTCTCTCTGTCTGTAGGTAGGAGGTTGTACTGGCTGGTGTTGGGAAGTGGATCATAACTCTGTGTCTGATTATGTTGCTTTAATGAATCCGTGCAATAATGTGCATTTCCCATGAGACACTTTTCCCGTTGTTCCCCTTGTTGGATAGTTGCTGCTGTCTCTCTCAATTTAGAAAAGAAGTTTGGATATTCTGGCCTCCCATGTATTGATTGTGAGGTGTATTCACATTTTTATTTCTCTTTCCATAAGTCCTCTTCTTATCCTCCATCTATTTTTTTAATCTTTTTTTTCTTTTTCTGGCTCTTTTTTCTTAGCTCTTACAGAGAGATTGACAGGAGTAACCAAACTGTAACTCTTCCGATGAACATTCCATGTGTTGCTTAGGAGATAATAAACAGTACAGTGCCTTAGCTATGTAATGTAAAGGAACTCTTCTGTTTCCAATCATTTACCTACTGAAGCTTTATCATAATTCTAATTTTTTATTTTTCTTTTTAATAATGTTGGTGACAAAATCAGAACTACTTGTGCTAACCAGGCTGCATCATATGTCTTGCTGTGAATGTAATTTATCTCAGGGCTTCTTCTCTTCTTACTGTTGGCATCACAGTTGTTCAAAAGACATGAGCTGGGAAAACTTTTTTGTTCTTCAATCATAATCCAGGAGATCTGCAGTTGGGCTGTGTTGAGGCAGTAGCTGCTTTCTTCTGCCTTCTTCTAATCTAACCTCCCTGTACATGAGGACGGCAGTCTGTGGTGTTGAAGCTGGCCTGGCATCCAGTTCCCTATTTCTCTTATGAAGAAGATACTTATAAAACTAGTCAGGAGTCCACATCATCTTCTCTCTAGAGTAGGTCTCAGTCTAATGAATGTTTTTGGTACTCTGTCTACAGGGACAGGAATCTTGCTAATCTTTGGTTGCTGTTTGAGGGAGAAAAAAAAAAAGGGCTGTAGTTGAAGATAACTTCTTGTGAGTCAAGGAGTTTGCTAGTTTTTTCCAGGATAACATTAAATGCAATGAACAGTTGGGCATTGTTTGTTCTCTGGTAGCCTTTGGCATTTGACTGTGTGAAGTATTGGAATAGTTCTTAAATACTCTGGAAAATAAAAAGTGAATTTGTGACTGACTTTGTTATATTGTGCTTATCAAGTGATACCAGATGGAACAGTTAGAGTTTAAATTGTTCCTTCAGGCAAAGTCTTGGGAAACTCTAGACATAGCAACAAGATTAGGGTAACTTTACACTGTGAGTTTCAGTTCTATAAAAGAGCAGGCACTTCGTAACAAAATAATAACGTGGAAAAAAGGCCCATATCTAGCATATGTTGGTGTCTAAGCAAAAGCAACCATCAACATGTAAGATCAATATAAACAAAGGTACTGTTTTATCTTCACACAACCTGAACGTTGCAATTTCTGCTGACAATTCCCAAATTTTGGGGGGAATTTTCTGTGTTTAGTGCCTCTGAAAGTTGGGCATGAGTGACCAAATAAGCATTCCACAAACCTCTCAATTAACTGAATTTTTTATGATTTTAATGTGTTTTTAACAGGCACAGTGGAAAACTTGGAAGCAAATGCAACGGTTGATTTGAGTTTCATATATTATGGTATATAGTTTTGGTATTTTCTTTGATTTCATTTTCATTATAAACTTGAGAAAAATTCTTAACATTTTGTTGCCATAGGTTTTTATTATTTCTATGTACACTTCATAACATTTTATGTTGCCATGCCATAATCTTTTATTATTTCTATGTCTGTTCAACCATCTGTGTTTGTGAAAGAGAAAAAAGTTTGGTCTTAAATTTGCTCTAAATTTCACATTTCCCATAATAAAAAAATGCTATTAGATAGCAAGGGATAGAAAATAAAAACGAGAGAGGATGCTGTAGAAGTTTTTCTTTCTGTGTGTGGTAAGTTAATTTGACTGAGAGAATTTTGAAGCTTCTTTTCATCAACAGTTCTGGTAATATCCTTTACCAAATAGCTCAACAAGCCACTAAATATTGGACCTGGGTATGTTTTAAAGTTTCACAGTTGAAATTGGACCTAACAGATATCAACTGTTTTGATGCTATTCAGCTTATTGGTGCGAGACATGGACGCTTCCCTCTCATTTATGCTTTAGCTTCCAAGTGACGGAAATCCTGGCACATAGACTAGAATAAAATGCTGGGTGATGTGAGGCCGAACAGCAAAACCCGTTGAGGCACACACTGCCTGCACTGTATCAGTATCCACTCTGAGCTGTGAGATGGCAAAAGCTTTTAAATGCAAATGTCAGCATTAAACATAATGCACTATAAGAAATTCCTAAACCCACAGTCCATTGATTCTTTCTGATTGAAAAGCTTTCCAAAATGTAGTTTTATACTGTCTCTTCATGATATTTTCAGACTGCAGGGCAGCAGGATGGAGCGCTGAGGATGCAGATGGAGCAGCTGCAGAGGTGGCTGAACAGCAGAAAATCATTGCGCTTTACAACCCAGGTACTTGAGGAATCCCTCGTGATGCTGCAGCAATCTTATCTGCCATTATTTGTACTCCAGCAGTGCAATGCAGCAGTTCTTTAAAGAAAAAGAAGGTCTTGTGGTGGTTTTCAGTAGCTTTGAGCACTTCCTCTGGCAGTCAGGCTAAAATATTTATTTCTCCACATAGACTTAGGCACAAACTGTAAACCCCAGAAAATGTTTCTTTTAATTTTTTAATTTTCATTACCAGGAAGTATATGAGGACGAGTCTTATATGTTTATTAACACATCTCTCATATAGATTTCTTTTGAAGTACAGACTTTGGACTTCTGGTCTGCGCCAGGAGCTCCTCCTGCCCTCTTCCTTCACCTGCCTTGATGTCTGCAGGGCCTTTTCTCTCCCATCCCTCACTCCTCTCTACCAGCTGCTGTTGCACATTGGTTTTTCCCTTTCATAAATCTGCTCTCCCAGAGGATACCTAGCATTACTCATGGCTCAGCTCTGGCAGTGGTGGGTCCCTTTGGAGCAGCTGGAGCTGCTCTGATCTGACACAGGGTAATGCTGGGCTCAAAACCTTGCCGTGTAAGACCGATACAGGATTATTTTCTGGAAGCAGTGAGGCTGGGTCTCTGATCGCTTTGCAGAACTATTTATATATTTTCCACTTCTAATAAAAAGTGCAGCAAGGGCCACCTCAGAGATACTCTGTGATATTTAAATCATACCTGCTAATGTGCTTAAGACGACATAGGAGAAATGTGTTTTACCTTCTCAGGAGTACTTTGTAAATTCTCTCTAACGTAGCATACTTCAGGTAATTTTGTGTATGTCTGATGTACAGCAAGCACGTTTTACAACTGAAGTATATAACAGGAGCACAGTTTCGTTATTTCACTCTGACAGTACAAAACACCAGGGAATATGAAAGCAACAGTATTGTAGTGCAACACCAGCTTAGCAGAGACTTCCAATTCGGTGCAAATCAGCTGTCATAAACTTCTCTAATTTTCCTTCTCTGGTAATTATTTTCAGGTTTTTCTGTTTCTCCTGTGATACCTTCCCATCTAGTAGCCACTGTGTCATCCCTTCCATGCTTTCCTACTACTTTATCTCCTGCCCAGTTGCCACCCAAAGATTCTTCACAAGTTGAGAGCCCAGGATGCTTAGAGACCTCTCCTTCAGCAATGCCTTCTGCCCTGCAGAGCAGCTCCCCACCAGTGGTGCCAAACGAGAGCGGTTCAGAAATCTCAGGAGAGCAGCTGCAGCTGTCAGATTCAGGTAGGTGAAAAGCACTGGGAACTTGAATATAAGCATGCTGTGCAAAACTGAATTTCTGCCCTTCCTAGTGAAAACTTCATTGCAGGGCAGAGGAAGGGCTGGCTTTTATGGTAGTTTGTTACACAAGCCACCAAAGTGTTATAAAATTTATTTTGGAAAATGTCTGATAGAAAAAGAAATTTGGCCTTGTGGATATATATGGTCATTAAATTGGAAATGGTAGATTAGAGTGAGGTATGGTGAGGTAGAGGAAGGTATGCTTAAGGGAAGGTGAATAAAACATAGGATATGGATACAGCATACAAAGATGAGAAAAGTGTGTGAGAAACTAAGGCAGGAGCCCCAGTACATCAGTTTAACACCTGATTGGAAGCTTGTCAGTGCACTTGGATTTGAAATGTCCCCCAGCTGATTGTGCACTTGAGGATGGGGCTGAACAGAGCAGTGCTGACTGCTGTGATGATGGTGGGTTTTTAATTCTGGAAACATGAATAGGAGTTCCCCAGCAGCACATCTAATGTCTCCAATTTTTATTTAAAGGGATAAGCACAGAGCCATTGCTTCAGAGTACCGAGAGCCCCACAAAACAGCTTTCCAGACAAGATGCTCAGGAAGAAACCAGAACAGAAAACAAAGGTGAAGTATACAGCTGCCTGGACACTTTCGTTCTTGCCTTGTACTGGGAAGAACTTGGGGAAAATTGTAGTGCTGACGCACTTCTCCTGCTGTACCATTCCCATTGCCACTTCTCTTGTAGATAAATAGATAGACCATCTAAAAGACTGGATAAAGCAGACCCTCACAGATGAGACTGTAAGGAGGAAGCATGGGTTCTGCATCCCTTGCTGGAACTCACCTGCTGTGCTTTGCCACCTCCAGTTCTTCTACTACATACTAGACTTGTAGAATCATAGAACCATAGAATTGCTCAGGCTGGAAAAGACCTTAATGATCATTGAGTTCAACTACAACTTAACTGTAGTACCCTAACTCTAGCAACCCTCTGTTAAATCATGTCCCTGAGCACCACATCCAAACAGTTTTTAAACACATTCAGGGATGGTGACTCAACCACCTCCCTGGGAAGCCTATTCCAGTGCTTAACAGTCCTTTCTGTAAAGGAGTTTTTCCTGATATCCAACCTAAACCTCCCCTGGCACATCTTAAGGCCATGTCCTTGTCCTGTCACCAGTGAGAAGAGACCAACCCTGCTTTCACTGTAATCACCTTACAGATATTGGAAGAGAGCAATAAGGTCTCCCCTCAGCCTCCTTTTCCCCAAACTAAACAGCCTCAGTTTCATCAGTCGATAGGATCATCTAGTCCAACTATCAACCCATCACCACCATGCTCACCAACCATGTCCCTCAGTGTCACATCTGCCTTTTTTTTTTTTTTTTTTTTTTCAAGAAAACCTTCAGGGTTAGTGACTCCACTACCACCTTGGGCAGTCTGTGCCAGTGCAATTCTGGTCTATGGCAGGCGACTGAGTTGCAGAAATAACACTTCTTTATGTCATCAGACTGAAGATTTTTAGTATGTGGCTGAAAAAGCTGAGGGAAGAACACAAAAACTTTTGCATCACCAATGTCAGTGCTCCACAGGAAATCACTTCCACTGAGTCACTGAAAAGAATGGGTTCAGGTGTTTCCCCCTATGCTTCCTGAACTAGATTGAGTCATGAGACCTGCCAGGGCATTACAAGCTTTTGTGTTGCAAGAGAGTGCGTTGCCAAGGCCTCCAGGAGCACTAGGTGCGTCAGTGACAAAAAGCAAGCTGTGTAGTTTCTGGAAACAGCAGTGGTGTTCTGTGTGAATAAGTCAATAAAGGCATTTTCCTGAAATTAACAGACCAACTTGAGCTATAGAGCAAGTCTCGATTAGGTGACATTTAGATAAATGATTAAATGCAGTAGAAGCCTTCTTGTTGTAAGGAACGTAGCCTGTAAGCCTAAACGGGAAGATGGACCAATTTGCACGCTTCTGTGAAATAGAATGGAAAATGCCCAGTTAGAAGGTCTCTTGCCTATAAATATTGCTATTTAAAATGTTTAAAGAACTGACTTGTGAGTCAGCATGGTTTATAGATACAGAATTTCAGTGCTGTCCAGTGATGAGTCTCCAGTGTAATATTCTGCAGCGATCACATCATTAACTACGCATTACAAGTCTCTTGAGGCAAGGAATACAAATCACCATTTCTTGTTTCATTATTCCCAAATGTTAGATTTGAGGATTAGTAGGGTTGTTTTTTTTTTTTCAAATTTAATTTAAAAATATTCTATAAAGTATTTTAAAAAGTCAAACCTTGCACAAATTGTTTTCATTGACCTTTTTCCTGCTGTTTAGATAACAGTCAATTAAAAGAAAGGACTTTCCCTGAAACTTTTTTTTTTTTTTTTTGAAGAACAAACAGAACAAATGAAGGAGATTCCTCCATCTCCCTTCAACACAAAGGTAAAGACTGGAAACCTAGGAAACAGGTAAGAAATGAATCTAATCAGTCAGTCAAACTACAAAAGCATGTTCTTGTTGACTGTAAAAATACTGTATAACACATACCAACTGACACCAGCCAAAAAGTTCCTAAAAGGAAACAAAATTCGTGTGTATTTTTAGCAAAATTTTAGCAAACTCTAGTGGGTGTTCAGTGTCCAATAATACTATAACTTTTGCTAACGTTTCATGTTGAAAAAGGAGAGAATAAGAATTACTGAACTAAAGATAGTTAAGAACATTACAAATAAGTAATTTTTTTCCTTGCCCAGGCCAATCACAGCAGGAATTGATATTAGACAGAAGACTTCTGAAAAATTTATTGACCAGCTTCAGGTAAACACTCAGTTGATAGAAAAACAGGAGCAGAAGGAGCAGGTACTGTGCCATTGGTGCGTTTACTTTGTTTTTGATGAGTTCTCTTGGACTTGGAGGTTGTATAGGCATTATTTTGGCTCACTGTGTAGAAGCATATTTTTCCACTGTTCTTTCATGTGATGTTAGAATACTTTTCAAAACCTCCCTCCCACCCCCCCCAGAAAAAGAAAATGGCCCCATACTCACCTTATTGGCGTATGAGCGGTTGCTTTGGACCTCTTATTACTCAGTCACAGTTCCCACTATCTCCCACTGTATTCTTCTCTGCCCACTCTCTGGAGCAGAATTTTTGCCTGAGTCTTAGCTTACTTGCCCAGCTAAGTCAGGCATCAAGGTTGATTCTGTTAGTTTCTTAGATACTGATCATCTCCAGATTGTTTGCTTCTCTTTAAACTTTTCTGCTTTTTGCCTTTCACAAAGCCATATCAAGCTTTAGCAGACAGTTAACAGTTCAACAGTTTAAACAACTAATCTCATTGATCTCATATTTCTCACAAGATTAAAAGGAATGACTATAGGCAGTATGAAAGTGGCATTTGATGCAAAGATAGATGCCATAAATCATCTTCTCCTTCAAGATTAAGACAAGTTTATGTGCAGGTCTGACCTTGCAATTTCAAGCCCTACAGACTTGTGAAAAGCTGTCCTACACAGCTCAAAGTTTTTATTCACAGGGGGAGATATATCTCCTGTTTTCATGTCCTCCTTTTGTCTTCTACTCTAAAACTAGATGGTCTCTGAGATCCCTTCCAACCCAAGCTGTTCTGTAATTCTCCGATATCTCAAACACTAGCTTCGAAACATCTCACAAGTTGTCTTGTCATTGTTCTCTGTGTTAATGGCTGAAAGTTGTGAAGGTACTTTTTTCTTGTTGCTCTGTGTGCCAAATCTGACAATAGTTAATGCCCAGAGTTTCTAATCAGCTCAGAACTGGGTAACCTGTTAGGCTATAATACACCATATTGGCATATTGTATTTGGTATATTACATATATCAAAAACAATAGGGATTTCTTCAGTGGGAACCTTTGGGTGTCAGGCCCTGCATTATCTTAGGCTTGCTGAATTAGAAGGAAGATGTACATTTTATCACTTGTTATTTTCCCAATGAGACAGAGAAAATTATTTTTTTAAACGAATGCATTTATATATTTCTGCCATATTGTACAAAACACTCAAAAAGCCTTCAAAAACAAAGATGAAAACTCTCATCTTTGACCATCCAAACACTTAGGGCTAAGTGTCTTAAGTTCTGACTCAGGATTTAATGTAGGTGTCACACAATGACTCACATTAAAAGTTCTCGTACACTTTATGTAGTCTGCAAACTGTTATTCGTGAGCTCAGTTATCCATAGCCAGTTACTTTAAGACTTCTAGTGACTCAGCTTTTTCAATTAACATAAATAAATTTTCTTTCTGATGAATGAATCCTGGATTATGAGTGTCATTATTTTTGCTGTTTTTTTCAGAGCAAGGCAAAAGGAACACCTCGGAAGACTTTTCAGAAGCGAAAAGAAGGTACTGTAAGAGTAAAAAAAACTAAACAGAAGCCTTTAAAAGAAGTGAGCAAGCATTCCAGAACTGATGTGGAGCACCGGAGTCTTTTTTCACAGCCTGGACAAATGGATGCAGGGATACTACAGCCAAGGGAATATCCTCATGTAAATCTGCAGGTCAGCAGCTCCATGCGTATGGGTACACATGGGAAAAAAGCAAACTGCGCTTTAGCTGAGAAGGGAATTAAGGCTCAGGCTGACTGTGAAGTGAAAGTACAGGAGCAAGGTGAAGAAGAAAAAGTGGTGATTAGAAGAGATGAAGATGCTTTTGCCTCGCCTCCTCTGAAGTGGACTGAAATCCTGAACTCATGTCCTGAAACAACAGAAATGAACCTACAATTAGGTGGGGAAAGTGAAACTAATCACAGGGATTCTGTAGAGCAAGCTGGCAGAACTGATGAAAGACTTGTGGAGGGTACCCTGCAAATAGACCTAGGTAGAGCAAATCAGCTTCTACAGGGTGAGCTCAGAGAGGAAGAAAAGACCCCTTTGGAAGTCCTGCAAAAGTGTTCTACGCTTTGGGATATAGAATCAGAACACATGAGGAAAGCGGAGTGGAGCTCAGCCCCTGTATTCACACAGGGCCAGAAGCATGTGCAGATATGCCCACAAGAACTTGTTTCAGGGAACCAGAGCCCAGAAAGCAAAGGACAAAACCACACTGGTTTTAAGAAGGTCAATGATAAGATCATAAAAATTACTTGTAACTCGCCTGAGGCTGTGGAGCAAGAAAGCTCATCCCAGCAGGAATGGCAAAGGAAGGGGACAGCTGCCATGACATGGCATGTTGCATCTTCATCTCATGAGTCAGGCTGCTTATCCTCCAACAGTGACGATGACCCCAAATCTCATTGCAGTCAATATCCCTCCCAGCATGGGCCTCAGGTAGCAGATCATTGTGACAGACATTTGGATCTCTCTGAAAATGATTATGCTAGTGATGAGACCAGTGAAATTGAACACATCTCCATGAAAAAGAACATCAGTTCCTCCTCAAGAAAACAAGATATTTTAGCACTCTCAAGACAGCAAAGTCTCTCCATCAGCACAAGCAGCAGTGATTCCAGCACTGGAGCTGTCAAGCTGAAAGGGAGCAAGGCTCACTCTTCTCTTCAGCATTCTGCATTTCATCTCACAAAATCCACAAGGAGAGAGGATGAACCTGAATCAAAGGCCAAGCATGTTACAAGCCTTGATCTGCCATCTTCAGCAGTGTTTTTTAGGGTTAAAGGAGCCCCTGCAGTGAAGCAACCACAGAATAAACTGACTACAAATGTGTTAGGTAAGAGCTACCTGAGTTTTTGTTTGCATTTCTTTTCAGTATGGAAATTAAATTCCTCTTAGTTTGACTGTTTATGCTCCCTAGGTACATGCTCACCTCTGTTAGTATTTCTCAGTCAGAAACTTAAAAACAGAAAGGAATGAAGAAAAACACCTGCAAGCCCTTAGTTATGCTTCACTCTCTATGTCACTGGCCATTTTTTTCTAGTTGTGCTGCTAAGAGATACAGTTTCATGTGCAGACTTTTCACCCCATGAGACTGATGGATGTTTCAGTCAGTCCCTGAAATCAGTGCTAGAGTTTCTGGTAGCTTATGGGTATTCATCCCCCTGACTCTTGGCAGTGAGGAGTTCTTGTTTTCTATTTACCCTCCTCAGAGACACTGTGAGACACAACAGGCTGGGCAAAATAATTTCTCACAATTGCTTATTTTATTCCTCAGCCACAGGGAGCCCAGTATTAGTAGAAAATTATGTTTTCCTATGAACATCTTCTCTCAGTTTGTCCTGGATAGTGTCACAGTTCTTCAGCCAGAAATCCTCCTAATCTTTTTTGGCTTGGTCATCTTACTTCTGGAAAAGAAATGGTATCCTGCTGAGAAAGGATTTAGACCTTTTTATTAAATTGGTTCTTAGTCTTTTTTTTTTTTTCTCAGCTTCCACTATAGGACTTTACGTCCTTCAGGCTAACTCCTCATCTCAAACATACTTGCTGTCTCTCCCTTTTTTTTTTTTTTTTTCCTTAGAGTGAGTCAAAACCTGTTGTCCTTCCTGCAGCAATCACTGGGGCAGGAATACTTACTCCTGACAGCTCTTAATTACTCTGTCACAGATTGCTAAACTATTCCAAAAAGAGCATCAAGGACTGTGTAAAAGCTGTATTCAAAAGAAAGCTGAATTATCACTTGACAATTCGCATATTCACAGTGAAGAATTCAGCTGCTGATACTGGTATATCCCCCAAATCCATTTCAGTTATCATGACCTGCAGGTCTTGGTCCACACTACTAAGAACTATGTTGGAGTCTGAATACTTGTGTAATTATTCTCTGATAAGTTAATTCTGTTTGACAGATTCATCAGTAAAGCTTACTGCATTTATGCAGCCAGTGCTAATGTAGATATCTTTGTAGAAGAAACGCAGAACATCGTTTCCAGAGGATTAGAAACTGATGTATATCATGGAGGATCCCTTTCACTGACTAGAGCAGAAGAAGAACAGGACAAAGCAATGCATTTTCTCAGGTAAGTCTATATACACAAGGAACTGATTTGAGCATGTACTGAAGCCAATACTTCCATTAGCAACCTTAACATCAGGTTGCTAAATCCGTAATTAGTAGATAGCTTTGTCTGAATGGCATCTATGTTGTCCTTGAGAGCCGAAACACTTACCTGGATGTGTAGATAAAAAGTAAGGTGCCTAACCAAAGGGGCCAACTCTGAAAACTGTGGTACAGTTTGGGTCTTAAAGCTGAGTAATGCCAAATGCTTTGTGTAAATTGCTGAACATCTTCGGATTGCCCTGAAATCTGTAAGAATCGGAATAATTTGTTTTATGTGATTAGGTATCTGATGGAGTAAAGGATAAACTTTCCCTGTTGCATTCACATCAGCGTACCTCGTGTTTCCAGCTATCAAAAGTGCATACCATGTGACCAACAGCATTATAATTTCAGAAATGCTTATCTTCTGAAGAAGTAGAATTGCCCTCACAACTGTAATTAATTAGAGGTAATACAAATGCCTGTAATAAAAATTTTAATAAGCTTACTAAATCAAATATGTTCATTTTTTTTTTAATATGAGGAAGCTGTCAGAAATTGCTGGGTGCTATCTACCATAAACACAGAAGTGACACAGAAGTGATTCTTTCCCTTTTCACTTTCCTGGTTCTGAACCAGTGCCAAGAAAGAATAACTTATTGATTTTTATTTTAATAGATAATGCAAACTATGACTGAGGGAGCTGGGCTTGTTCAGCCTGGAGAAAAGAAGGCTGTGGAGTGACCTCACTTCAGCCTTTCAGTACCTAAAGGGAGCCTACAAACAGGAGGGGAATCAACTCTTTGAAAGGGTAGATAACAGCAGGACAAGGGAAAACTGACTTGAAGCAGATAAGATCTAGGTTGGATGTCAGGAGGAAGTTCTTTACAGAGAGAGTGCTGAGGTGCTGGAACAGGCTGCCCAGAGAGACTGTGGATGCCCCATCCCTGAAGGTGTTCAAGGGATTGGATGGGGCCCTATGCAGCCTGGTCTAATATTGAATGTAGAGGTTGGTGGCCCTGCATGTGGCAGGGGGATTGGCGTTTCATGATCCTTGAGCACCCTTCCAACCCTGGCCATTCTGTGATTCTGTGAAATTATTTTTCACATCTGCTTGCCCATTCCTCTTGATTTCAAAGACCTCAGGATTAGTACCAAACGGTATTTTCTGACTTACACATGTCAGCTTGTTTGATTTATTTTTATAGGTATCTTTCAGCAAAATGCTTTCAGTGTCTTAACAACAGATGACTTTATTAAAAATCTTTCTAGTCTGTGATCTTACAGACAGCTTAGGTGATCTCCAGCTGGCTGTGATATGTGCTTCAGATGTGATTATCTGTGGGATTTGGTAGTTAATAAAGCTACTCATGAAATAGGTGCTGCTTTTCCCTTTACTGATATAAATTTGGGCTGTGGAATGACGCACAAGTGCAGAATTACTGCAGTGCAGGCTTGTCTACCTGCTGACAGTGCTGCATCACAGATGACATGGCTTTCATTTTTATTTTAAAACAATGAAGATTTTCAGAAGAGCTTTCACTAGTTTTATTAATGTCTTTAGCCATAGTAATCCCCTTATATGTCCACACAAATATTTATCCAAATATACATGCCTAGCATAATGTGTGCGTCATTTCATTTTTCTAATTTATGAGTTAAAACTAATTGTGAAAGGCAGCTTATCCTTCCTGGCTGTGTTGCCCTATGCAGATTTATGCAGTCTGCTTTGTTGTTTTCAAACCAGTAAGGAGCACAAGGTGGCAGCTACATCCAAAGCACAATACTTAGGCCATTTTGGTGACTTACATTTGTTGGAAGCCATGAAAACCCTTTTGAGAGCAATGTAACTTGCCTGGACTTGCCTAGTCCATCCATTCCTTTGTTTCAAAGTGCTTCGTTTTTGAGCCTTTGCAGATACAGATAGAACAGACAAGGAAGTGAGAACAGTTGGAGTGTAGCTTGTGGTGCATACCTAGTGCCTGGGGGAGCCTGGAACACCACCTGTGGCTCCACTGCTGAGGGAGATGCTGCTGGCTCTTAGTATCTGTCAGAGAGTTCAGTAGTGGTCTGTTTTCTTGGGAAAGCCTTGCTGCATGTTTACTTTTTGCCTCACAGCTAGCTTGCTGCTGTCTGCCTCAGACAGAGGTATGCCTGGGATTCATGCAACGGTTTGAGTTGACACAAAGTACTTAGCTTTTCCTAATATTTTACATCCATGCACCTACTATTATTTTATAGCTGGGATGTGAACAGACTGAGGCTCCAGAGAAAAACTGTGTGTTCTCCAGGTTGTTTGATTATTACTTTTTTCAAGGCCAGAGGTTGTTTCATAGCCTTGAGCCAAAGAGGTACAGCTAAGCTGTTTTAGAGATTGGAGAGCTGCAACCAAGTTGCCTGCCAGGCATGATCTCTGTCCTGCTCTAAACTCCAGACTTTGCCCAGCATTGCCTTGTGCAGTGTGGGGTGGAGACCTGTGGTCATGCTAGCAATATGGCCCTGTGAGCAACTGTACACTTGGGCTGATGCTCCAGCTCTGTTAATTTTATTTGTACAGATGCAACTCATGAACAGCTCTGAAGAGGCTGATATCAATTGAGATTTTGGAGGGAGTAGCTAGCTGGCTTCTGTTTTGCAGAAACTTAAGAGAGTACTTGTCAGTGGAAGATGTTCTATGTAGATCTGCCATCTTGCTTTTGTTCTTGTATGTTGTATTTCAGGGCAACTGGTCTGGATTTGGAGCAGTGGCAAGCTACACATAATTAAGAAATGGCTGTATATACCGATTTAACCAGAATAATGCAAAAAGTATTAATACTTCAATTAAACATTGAGAATTTTTTTTTTTTGCATGTGTTTAATGAGAATATTAGACTGCCTTACTTAAGTAATAAATTGTTAAGAGCCGCAGGATATGGGGACCTCATTTGCCTAATACTGTTATTGTGAGCTTTCACATTTTGCTGTCAAATAACTAAACTCCATTATGGAGAGGAAAACATGAGGTCATGGCTGCTTCCTGCAGCTATCAAGTAAAAGAGATAGTCAGATGGCTGTAAGTCATGAAGTGAACTGAAGCAAGAAACTAACAAATAATTTAATATCAAATTGAGATTGATCTAGGCAGCTGGATCCTGGTTGTACAAATAATGCTCTACAGCTTTTGCAAAGTTTTTAAGCACACTTCCTGACCACTCATGCGTTGGTATATTGGGTAATTGGGTATGAAGGCAAAATGCCTTCTTAGTGATGGCCTCTCATATTTGGCTCCTGTAATTTACTCACATATAACTAATACTCAGCCCCTTTCATGCAGGTCCATGGCTGTTCTCATTATGGGGACAACCAAGCAGCTGGAAATATGGCTCAGTCTCTAGCCTTGCGTGATGAGATGCCTCACAAGTGTGGTGCCGGGAACAGGCTGTGCCTTCTGCAAGTCTGCCTTAATGTAGCTTTCCCTGTACACAGCAAATGTGACTATGAATCTCTAAGTTCATAGTCTTCAGATTATCAGAAAATTTTAATTTAATTAATTATTAATTAAATGAATAAAAATATTTCCATCTGCCCAATAGAATAAACTTTGCAGCTGGTCTTGTACAAGTGCTTCAAGTGATGCGTGAGTTCTCCAACCTCTGTTTTGAGAAGTGCTAATCACTTATTGACACTCTCAGCAATATTAGTATATCTGAGACATGCCCAAGCCCCCTAGAGTTCATGTCCAGAGAAAGCACATCTAGAGCCAGTCCTTTGTTATAGTCTTTATGCCAACCTAATGCTCTTTTTTTTTTTTTTTTTTTAACCTTCTCAGCAGAATACGAATGGACCAACTTAAGACTGTCAGAGGCCAGGAGCTGACTCATCCATTGCAATACAACAGAGAGCAAACTGACTCAAAGGTGCATAGCAAGTTCAAAGGAACAGCTAGAGTCACTGGAGAAAGTGTGAAATCAGAGGAAATACAAGTAAGTTGTAAAATAAATATGCTGTTCTCTTCAGTGAACATTCCTGTGTTCAGGTATCTTATGGACCTGAGTCCTTTCATTTGTACTGCTTATTGAAGATGGTTGTGTGTACAGTGAAGATTTTTGTGTTAAAAAAAAGCATCACTTTGATTTGTTTTAAATTTAAAGCTTGCTTTCTTTATATAAGAAAAAAAAATAAATTGAAGAACTGTGCCTTCTGTTTTGTACAGAAGCATGAGGGGAGCCCCCTGTTGTTTGTACTGGCTTTCACATGTTTAAGTTGAGTCTTGTAACATTTCTATCTCCTGTCATAGTGTGGGTTACAACTTCTTGACATCAGGTGTTGTTATTTCAGTGGCTATTATTCTGCACTGTCATCCCTGAGCTGGGAAGTAGTTCTTTTTTTCTTGTAAACTGTTGTGACTTTTGGCTTTGAGGTGCTTTGGTGATACCTAGCTGGGTGTGTAACAAGCTAAGTATGTATAATCACAATGGACAGATACACAAATGAAGGGAAAGTCAAAAAGAAGGAATGTACATGGCAGTTGGTTACAAAGCAAACTGCATTTCTGTCTAAACTCTACTGATGTTCCAGCTGCAGTATCCAGCATGAATGCTTCCAAAGGAAGAGGACTCAGTGTTGGAAACACCAGGGATGATGGATTGAGAAGGGAACAGGAGAAAAAATGGAGATGTATAGCAAGAGGTCCTCATAAAAATGTAACAAATGCCATTAATTCACTTCCTTTAACTCAGATAAAAATGTCTTTGCAATCCCCTGGTGTCTGTAAGGACCATCTAGCTAATCACACTACATGAAGTTCCAATGAACTACCACTTTTTGCCATTAAGACATACCATCTGTCCTTTTAATGGTGGGTTTTTTTTCTTTTTTGTTTGTTTTGTTTTTTGCATTATTAGTTTGCATCTCTTGATCTTCCTTTACAAGAATGTCTCACCTCTTGGTAAGATTATAGGTGTTTGCAATATTTTTACTATTACTTCAAATGTGTTGTCTCTATATTGCAGGAATTCAAGCATGACAAAGGGCTCCATAGTTCGTTCCTTCTGTGAGTGTAAAGTTGGCATGCCTAGTCCAGAGCAGGCAATGACATGATGCTTATTTTTTTTTTTCTTCTGATAGATATTAAAGCAACAGATTACAGGACTGCAGGAGGAGTTCAGGAGAAATGAGTCCTGCTGGCATGCTGCCTATGGCAAGCTAAGAGACCAGGTTGAGATGCTGACTAGGCAGAACATGGAGCTTCGAAATGAGCTCAGAGGTTCAGAACAGAAGAGGCTGAAAGCAGAAAGAAAAACAGGAACTGTGAATCTCACTGACAGAAAATCAGAGACACCGGTACTGTAAGACTTTGTGTTTAATACTGCCTGAATAATTTAGGCTTACTTTTTCTTTTTCCTGAATACTGTCACTCCATTCCTGCCCTGCTCAGACTGAAGGGGAGAAATATCAGGTCTACAATAAGCCACGTATAAATATACTCCTTGAGTGGTCCTCTTCCATTTAACATTAGTTATCCAAGAGATGAGTAGCTCTACAAGGGGCTTTAACCAGCCTGTCTCTGACAGTGACACAGGGGCAGATGGTGTCTGTCTCCCTCTACTAACTAGGGAGTCAGTCCAGGTAACAGATTTGCACTGGCCTAATTAAGCCAATTAAAGTCTCCCGAAATTAACTCTGGTCTTTATGTATGTCATTGACCTTTTTAATAAAACAGCTCTTTAGCCAGATGCAGGCTGTTTTCTGGCAATTAATATAGTGAGACCTTTAACTAAACCTCGTTTCAGTTCTTATTTAGTACAGTAAAATTTCAGGGAAGAAAACAGTGGCCTCCCTTACAAAAGCACAGATTGAACCCCTGAATAGGAGTTACACTGGGATGGAACAGGAGAGACTATCAGGTTGGAAAATGTAACTGATTAGTGTAGATATGTCTGATGAACTCCTGAAATCAAAAAGGTTTAATCATAGTTGAACAGGTTCTATTGTTCTTTGTTATTAATATCCAATTTGTTTAATTTACTTGCAGGGTTACTTGTTACTTTACTATGTGATTGCGTACCTTCATTAAAGGGAGATAAATGAAGGAAGAATTCCATTACTCCCTTCTTACACAGGAGACATCAAGTTTAGGTGAAATTAAGTGATTCAGACCAGAAATCAAAAGACAGAGATCTGGTTTGAGTGGGTCATTTCATCTTTCTATGTATTCAAGGGAGAAAAATATGTGCCTTTAAAGAGGAATTCATTTCATTGTATGTGAACTGAGGTGACTGGAACAGATAATTATCTTCCAGATGGTGCAGTCTGGTGAGATGAATTTTATTTATCCACAGAGAGCCTACCCCTAGGAGAAAAACAAATCAAGCCTTTTATTCCTAGGTATTTCTCTAATGTGCAGATATAATTTCTAGTAATGCCTCTCTAAAATAAGTCAGATACACCAATTAACCAGTCCCTTGCTTCCTGGAGTGAAGAAGTTTTGGTCTCTCTTTTTATTTGATTTCAATGTATTTCAATGTAATTAATGAGATTTTTCATCTAATACTGATATTTCCCATTTGAAAATAAATGTCTTTTCATGTTATATTTCAGTTTGTTTTTTAATTTTCCCAAACATATACATTAGTATAATTCATTCTTTTATAAACTATGAAGTTCAGGAAGAAGAAATTAGTCACATGCAGGATGATTAAAACATGTTAAAAAAAAAAAAAAAAAGTAACAAGAAGCCAATTGGCTTCTATTGCAGGTGATGTTATTTCTGTTTCTCTGGAACATGTGATGCTGTGGAATTACTGCTCAAACCTGTGAAAATTTTTGTTGTGTGATAATACAGTTTGTTGTATGATGCTGATGAAGATATTAGGATGCTATGGGCAAGGATTGTCATAGCTGATGCTGCTGAGTCTCAGTCCCTAGCAGAACAAGGTGTGGAATTTCATTCATTGTGTTTATATATGTAGGTTTTAAATATCAATCCTGAGCTATGCTAGTCCTGATGTTTTCATAGCGGGAGACTAACACCCTGTGTCGGCATTTCTTCACGAAGATAAACCTGAAGTTACCTACTGCTGAAGTGTTGCATGGTAGTGGCTATCACTGTGCTTAGATTACTTCATTTTTGTTACAAACAGAAAACCTCATGGCTTAGAGAATTGCTTGATTCTTCTAGCTGTGACTTGAACTAATTATGTATGTATAACATATTCTTTGTTAGGTTGCAGAAGCTATCCTGCGAGAGACAGCACCTTTATCCACCCAGGAGAGATCATGGAGAGAGAAGCACAAGAGCTGTATCATCTCTCATGTGGGGCCAGAGGCAGCTTTGCAGAAACACTGCTGCAGAGATATTAATAGCAAAGTATGGGTTCCTACTGCCTTTTGCTTGATCAATGGTAAAATCACTTAGCTTTTTTTACAAGCTGTGGCAAGTTAACTCTATGTCAAGTGAAAGTCTTTTTTCTCTCCTATATCTCTGACAGCTCTTCCACAGCCAGTTTACAACACTGTCAAACAAATCTCATCATTTAGAATATAGAGATACCTAAATATTTCACTGCTATGCTTTTTTTTCTTTTTCACTGTTTTGCTTTTTTCTTGCTTTGTATTTCTTGTTCTCTATTGTGAGTATGCTGCTTATTACAACCCTCCTTATTCTTTTTGTTAGCGTTTAGCTGAAATCTATGCTTTGTTCAAATGTAGTCTCTCTGGAAATACTTGTATCTATTGGAAAAGTAATTTCTTGCTTCCACTGAATAGAGCAAAAACGAGCTCAGATTAGCCAATGGACTGCTCTCTCTGCCTTATTAGGGACTGAAATGAAATTTAAAACTTGTCAGGTGAGAAAAGACGAAACTATTCATTGATAATGACAATGTATGGCTTGAAAGTCACTAGACAGTGGATTTATTGAATCATGAGACAACTTCGAAACTGAATGTGCTTAAGACAGCAGAATCAACCATATCTGAAATAGAATCTTCAAGTAAGAAGCAAATATTAAATAATATATGCTATTCGTAAGTTAGAAGCTGGAAAGTTTAGCTGAAGGAAATTGTTTTATTTGTTCTGTGTTGATTTTGGATCTCCTTGGTCACTCCTGCAGCTGAGATTTCACAATTGCTTAGTGCTTCAATTGGCGGAGTTATAAACAAGCCCAGTAATGTGGGATAAACTATTTGCAGTTAAGGTGAGCTGTAAGGACAAAAAGCTTTGGTAGCTTATCTTGGAAACTTTCACAGTATGAAACAGCATGTCTCATCTGAATGTTTCAAGTGCTCTTGCCAAATAAGGTAAAACCAGAAATATTTATTTTACAGAGGGACTCCTTGTGATTTATTGAGTTTGTTTTCCCTCTGTGGCATGCAGCAAGCACAAAAACAAACAAACAAAACAAACCCCCCAAAAACAACAAAAAAACGGGACTTCAGCAACACTTCTGAGAAAGGGGATGTTGAGGACAGCAGACTTCTGAGCTTGTTGTTATCTGAGCTTTCATCATCCAGCCAGTGTTGGATCCAATCCAACTGGAATCCGGCACAAGCGTGAGCTAGACTGGTGGGCATACTGCCCAGATGTCCTGGGTGAACTCTAAAATGTCAGACACAAACATGTGTTCTTTATCTGATCTCATGGCAGAGGAAGGGCGTGTAGTGAACAGAGTGGATGCTGATGATTTGAATCTAGAATTGAAGGCTCGGGGAAAAGGAATGTAAAACAGAAGCACAAAATCAGTGTTGTAGTGATAGATGTGAAAATGGTGACTCACTTGTACTTCTTTGAGCTGCTTTATTAGCAGATGAAAACTTCAAATGATTTTGTGACTCTGGACATGTCTAAATTTTGGATGTAAAGCAAAATCTCATGCTGTTTTTCTGTCCAGAATTAAGATACTGTGCATGGGAGAAATCAAAGTGAAGGGATCATCTTGAGTAACAGAAGCAGAAATACATGTCACAGAGACATGTGGTAAGCTTTTTAAGATATTTCACATAAAGCCAGCTAGGAATGGTGATTTTCCTCAGCTGTAACCAAGAAGGCATAACAATAGCTAATATACGATTTATTTCTGTCAAAGCTAATAGACTTTGAGGATATGTACAAAAATGGCTGGGGAGCAAATTGAGTAATGACTGGTACAGGTTAAAGAATCAGGAGGACGTGACTTTATGGAAAAAAAAAGATATTGAGAGATATGCCACTTGCTCTACATTTATGAAAAAGGTGTATTCTGCTGGCCTATGATTCTTTTATTAATGATGAATCCTATTTTACTGTAATGTGGTCTAGTTAGTGAAGAAATGGCCGCTTCAAGCTGTGAGACAAGATAAGCATCTATTTTAACTTCATATTATTAAAGATTCTTTCAGAATGTGTCTTGTGCCCCAAATAGTTAATAATTTGTATTATCTCCAAACAAGCTGATTTCTGAATGCATTAGAAATTGGGAAGAAACAAGTTGCCAGTTTCCTGCCAGACATGCAGTTATAGATAAATTTTTCTTACTAAGAAAGATATCATTCATTTGTACAAGGGAGAGTTCTACAGGAAGGCATACTGATACAGCTTTTAAAAAGTTACTGTTGGAAAAGTTTCAACCAAGGTCTAAAGTGTATACTTCCTCTCTTACTACATGGACTTTGCTGTGTAATTTTGCAGTGGATTTTGCTGAGCTCTAAACATGTTATTTCCTTGTCCATGAATATTCTTCCTGAGAACTGACTAATTATGGAGCAGGGAATTATGACTTTTGAAAATATGTAGACAGTGTTTTGTAGCATTTGAATTTTCACTGCTTTATTCATGAAGATTTGTTGTTTTTTTGCCAAGTTTTTTGATCTGTTAGTATGGGAAAGTAAACCATAAAAGGCCCTAAAAGTAGGGTCTGTAGGACTGAAAGAAACCTCAGGAGACCACCTGGTTCCTCCTTTAGCCAACAGCAGGATCAGTGTCACTGATGGTTGTTTAATCTCTCACCAGCTCCCACAAGATCCAAAATGAGTTGGCATCTTCTGCTACCTACTGGTGACCTCTGTGTTCCCAACGAAGAGAAGTAAAACTATTTGTTCGGATAAATTTATGGCTTTTCTTATGAAAGTGTTTGAATTGAGGGAATCTTTATCAAGAAATTAATCATTCGTTATCATCTCAAATACTGAGTGATTGCATCTCTTGAAAAGTCTAGACCTAAATTGCAGCAGCTGCTTGGTCTAGGGCGCTCGCTATGATTTATGAAATGATCTTAGAACGACATACATTTTTATGATAAAAAGACCATGGGCAACTTAGTAATACAATATTGATTTCTCTGACATTTTTTCTTTAAAAATGGCTGTATTAGTGTATAAGTTAAAAATTGTAATCTATGCTATATATTAAAAAAAAAAATAAAAATAATAAAAAAAAAAAAATGGAAACCAGACGTTTTTACAACCAGACGTAGCAACCTAACAGTGCTCTATTTGGTGGCACCCTCAACAGAATTGATTTTTGTTTAGATATGTAGTGAATATAACTTACCATGTTCATGGAAATATATCTTCTTTCTCTCTGGCTTAATCTCTCTCCTTCGCTTCTGCAGTCCAACACATTCTATTTCACGAGCTTGTTAGGGCCTTAAGTTAGAAAGTCAAGTGCCTCCTCTCATCCTGTTTTACGTCTCATACAGATCTTTGCCCCCTGGCTAAGATAGCATGCATTGCATCAGGATATGCTGATTTATGAACGTCCTTTTCAAATAATACTTTTTGATGATGAAGCTTTTTTCTAAAATAGGCTTCTTAGGGCAGCCCTATGTATAAATATTTGCCACAGAGTATTTTCTATTTGCAAGTCTTATATAGTTAGTTCTTTAAAGGCTTGACTTTTGATGGTCTCTATATAATATACTCAGAAAAACAAAACAAAACAAAAACCTGCCACATATCAGTGTCTGGCTGAAGCTGACGATAACTTGCATGCTGTGACCCTCTTGGCTCTTCTGATGATGGTGAGTTCAAAACTAACTGGGCAGAATAAGTAGTTCATTTTTGCCTGACTGCACTTGCTGAACCAGCCCCTTCCCACTCTGTGGTTCCTGGTGCTGGATATGGAAGGAGCTGGAAACACGTATCTGGAGACAGAGGAACTACAGTAATTTGGGTTGAGACTGGCTTGAGTTGTTGTGAAACTGAACCCCTGTTGTGTTTTTGGTGGTTTTTTTTTTTTTTTTTAATTCTGCTCAGTCACTTAGTAGTTTCAGTCTTAATATTTTTAGCAATATAACGATGGCTTAGGAGCACTTTCCTTCTCTCAGTCTGCAATTTCTGATTTGCATCATTTCATCAAAAATAATTTCAAAGGTCTTTACTACTAAATCATTTTTCTCGAGCCGAGGTCCATTATTTTGTCACTGCATACTCATCTACAGTTAAAATGTACAGTTAAAATCTTGTGTTCAAGAAATAGTTAGATGTTGTATTAAAGGGCATGGTTTATGGGGAAATACTGGTGGATGGTTGGACTGGATGGTCTTGGAGGTCTTTTCTAAACTCGGTGATTCTATGAAAATGACTGTATTTGGATAATTTTGGCATGTTCCCAGGATTTGCCTTCCAAAAAAAAAAAAAAAAATCTGAATTTAAAATGAAAATCATATTCCTTTAGCACTGATTTTTATTCATTTCTGCATCTTTTAGCATACTTGTCTGAAAGAGCTAATCAATAGCCTATCTCTTGCTCAAAGCTGTTTTGTGCTGAGGAAAAGATTTAGCTTTTGAAAATTCTACCATCTTCTGGTGTTCAGATAATTTTTCTTCACTGACTCTGTTTTGTATTGTAAGCATGACCATTAAATTTTAATGTGATTTATTAATATAAAGATGATGATATCATCACCTATGACAAAAATCCCTTAAACTGTGAGTTCACTGCAGAAAATTTTATAGTCATTATGGAAAATTGGCCTTAGGGACTGTTTTTGGAGAAGGAATTGGTTGGTCTTTTGTGTTTGCAATTTGTTAGTGCTCCATTCCTTGAGCAATAAGCCGTGGGCTTGGGCAAATGAAACTGATGGTACTTGTGTCTTTTCCATGGACTGCCTACTCTTGCGCTCCCAAGCTGTCATTGTCCAGTGGATGAGACACTTCAAATGTAAAAAAGGTGGACATCTGGCAAAACAAACAAACAAAAAAACTCCCACTCAATGTACTTTTCTGGATCAGCTCAGTTGTGGTTTCCCAGGGAGGAATACTTCGCTTATGGTTGGAAAGGTGGCTAGACTGAAGGATAAGAGCCTAAGAGCAGCAACAGCTGCTTTGCACTGTGTACTGTGAATTACCCTTCTCCTTGTTCCACAGAGGACTTGGGGAAGTGGACCGAGTCCAAAGAGGGAATAACATGTAAAATATGCATATATACATCCATACAAAGATATATGTCTTCCAAAAGTTTTAAAAATTTAATGAGCCACCTGCTGTAGATTTTAATGCTATGTTTATATCAACTTCATGCAAATGTATTTAAATCTTTTAGGCAATAAAAAGCTCCATACAAAAGGCTGATCCATTGAGACTGGTAACAAAGGAACATCAAGAAAAGAAACCATTTCACTGCTCCCTTGGCAGAAGCACAACGCCAACTGGCAGGACAACACCTCACCAGGGAAGAGTGACACCTTTTGAATCAGAAGAAGTAAGACAATGGAGAGGTCTATTTAAACTACTTCTATTTTTTTCTTGACAGTATTGTTCAGAATTTAGATTGGGATCGTGTTTCTCACAGAGTCGTTGCTTGGGCTTCTTGCCTTGATACCGTACTGTTTTGGTGGTTTTTTTTTTTTGCCAGAAATCTTCTTAGGGACTGCTCATACATTGAAATATTTCACAGAATCACAGAACCATAGGGGCTGAAATGGACCTCTGGAGATCATCTAGTCCAACACCTGCTAAAGCAGGTTCCCTAGGGCAGGCTGCATGGGAAGGTGTTCAGGTTCATTCTGAATATCAGCCTCTCTGGGCAGCCTGTTCCAGTGCTTTGTCACTCTTCAAGTAAAGAATTTTTGCCCTCAGAAGAAGTTCATGACTGTGATATGCCATGCCTCATTGTCTTGGCAACCCAATGAGGATCAAGAGAAAGAGCCACAGCTAAAATACAGCTCTTCAGAGAAGGAGAGACAGAGCCCCATCTAGGGCTTCTTCCAGCTCTTTCTCTATAGTCTCTTTCTTCAAAACAGTCTTAATTAAGATTAAACACTTGCACTGTGTCAGTGTATAGGTGTTGTGCACAGACATTCCCAGGAAGGGGGAGCACACTCCATCCATATCACTGATTTCTCCCACGTTACAGCAAGGCACAACTGTATGTCACAACTTCTCCATGTTGCTTCAGGTTGTACAACAACCCTCACCTACTGGGAGAAGAACAGATGAGAGGAAGTCACCTGGAGCTGGCTCACATCTGAGTGTTTCTAAGGGCCATAGGTTATCTTCTTATGACAAAGGTAAGATTTATGGGAATTTTCTGCCTTAGAGTCATCTGAATGATTGATCTCCAACCCTTGGTTAACAGGAAATATGTTATCACTAAAACTCTGCTATGATTCTCAGAAGTACAAAACTTGCATTTGACAAGAAAAGGAAGATAGAATGTGCTGAATTAATTGCTGTGGAAGCCCAGAAGGTGGAGCATGGTGGTGGTCTGCAGTTCTCTTTGGTCCGGGATAAAGCTCCTTCAGAAATGAGCAAGCCAGTGTTGCAAGCAAGCGTCTGAGAGCTAGCATCTTTAAAAATGATCTTCTGCACTAAGTGAAGAAACATGACTGTATCCTCTTTTATTTTGCTTTTTCTTACAGGCACACCTTCACCCATTTCAATTATCTCAGAAGACACGTTCCTCTCAAATAAGCACAGCAATAATACTTGCAGCTTTGCGCTCTGCAGTTACAGGGAGGAAACACAGGTATTTCACTAAGAAAATCTATGAAATAATTCACTGTCTATGACTTCAGTTTTCACATACAGCATGCTAGCTCCCATTTGGCTAGCAACAGCACTCTCTTGGATTTATCTCTTCTTGTGATGTGTACACTCTCTAAAACAATATTTTAATGGCTTAGTAACAAAGTACATTGCTTTACCAACATATTCCTGCATTACCATTGGACATTAATAGATCTATGTTGCTAGTTAGTATTTTAATTCTGATTCAGGAAGAAGAGATTCCTAATCTTAAAAAGACAGAAAGAATGTTAAAACCTCAGAATAAAGTGGCTTTTGCAACGACCCAAAGGAGAAGTGGCATAACTGCATATGAGAACAAAGTACTTACAAGCAGTTCTCCTACTCTTCTGGATGCTGAAGCAAAGGTTGGAGCAATTTATGGTTCTGGGCCTTATATGATGAGTCTTCTTTTCATCTTTTTCATCTCATCTTTTCCATGGGTGAACTGAAGTGAAACACACTAAGAAAACCTTCCATTCCCACTTCCTTCCTGGCCACTATAAAACTCAGAACTTTTAATCTGAGACTGATACTGAGTTATAATCTCCCGAAAGGACGCAACTTCTTTTTCCTTAATGAAATTGCAAATGTTTTGATCCAGGGCCAGGAGGGAGGGGGAATATTGTATCTGGAAGATTTGCCTTTCTCCAGAACAATGATGAATTATGCATGATGATATTATTTTTTTTTTTTTGGCTAGTGTTCAGGTTCCACTGCTTGCTTCAGAGCCCCCCAATACATGGACTTTCCATCTGTTACTGGGCATTCCTTGCGTGCTCTGAAAGCAGCACTACTCTGAAAGTATGCTCAGTCCTTTGAACATAGCTTGACATACAAAGGCAAGCAGCAGTTACCTCAAACTGTGTTGGCCTGTGTATATGAAATCCATATTAGTAAGAAGAGTGAGAACTGAAGGATGTTCTATTTAGAGGGAAGAGAGACCACTGTGGAAAACACTTTGCAAATGCTATGCAGTGGACAGAGGCTTGGGGATCAATCTAACAACTTCAAGCACAGTGTTGGCAGCTTTTCACTGGAGCACATCATTGCCCTGTGGGAAGCAGTACTCCCAGTTCCTTTGGATCCCACAGGCTGACATGTACTACCACTGTAATGAGAATTAGATAGTAACTGCTCTGGCTGCCAAGTGCCAGTCGCCAGTTAACTTAAGGCTCCTTTATGCTACCAGACAGTGCAAAGACAAGTTGTAACAGTAAATTGAATGCATAGCTACATAGTCAGCATTACCTACAGCTAAGAGCAATGTGGTTTGTTTTGAAAGGTGGATCTTGCTAGCATAGGTGCCTTTCTTTGCAAATCAGCAATCCTGCATTCATTCAGAGATAATCCTGTTCTTTGCAGTTCTTTTTGTTCTCTCCATTTCCTATAGTACAGTTTCTCCACAATGCATTCCCTGATATTGCTTTGATAGCTGACATTAATTGGAACTAATGCACAGCAATTGCAGTTACGACTAAAACATCAAAACTCACTATGAATTCAGGACAATACCAAGAAGTGCAACTCTCCTCTTTGTGTGTAAAAGTAAACATTTTTTTTGAAGAGTTGATTAAAATTTGTGAAAATATTTTTACAGCCTTTCTGTCTGTATAATTCTGACTGTGATATTTTCATAGGTACAGCCTCCAAAATCAATATTATCTAGAAAGTCAATGTTACATCAAGAAAGAAGGAAAAATGAGGATGTGGTGCAGGAAAAAATAGAGCATCATGATGGAAAGGTGAGATAAATCAGGGTGCTTGAGATCACCAACAGGGCTGCAACAGATAGGAATTGTCACTTCAAGTAGTCATAGAGAATTATCTCTCAAAGAGTCCTTAATGAAGAGCTTAAGTGCAAAGTTCACGTTATGAGTAGCAGGAAATTATATATAGCTGATGGGATGGAAATTTCAGTGGAAATCTTATCTCCTACTGCTCTGACTGAAAGTAATCTATGTCCAATCACAGTTGTCAATTCTTGATAAGCCTTAGGATATGTGAAGTTCAGACAGTAAAGCAAAACACAGGTTCCTGTGTTTATTCAGTTCAGAACTTCTCCTGTTAATACACGTGTTGATTAATGATACTTTCCAGTAAGCACACATGGAAAAGGCCTTTGCAATATAACATTGCTCAGGGGAAGCTGCTTTGATGTACCTATTTTATTATTTATTATATTATTTTATAGCCAACATTATATTATTTCATAGCTAGTGCTGAGATAGACTGTGTGAAAATTTCTACCAATCACGTTTCCTTCTCATAGAAATAGAAAATACACAATTCATTGTTTTGATCCTTGATAGAAAAATAATTGTGAAAACATCCTCTTTACCACTGTATTTGATTCATAAAACTTAGTGTTGGAAAAGGCTTGCTCAATATGAGAGTGGCCAAAAGGTTGATTGAGTCATTCCTTCTTATTTAAACTAACTGGAACTTTTCCTAACAAGGCCTTTTGTAGTAAGTATCTACAACAATATCTTTCTATAACTGACTATTTTTTTAAAAAAATTATTTCTAAAACTAAAATCTTGCACTCAGTATTCATTCATTCTCTTTCCCTGAGGATATTTATTGCTTCTTGTCTTGCTGGGATGTCACCTGTTAAGAAGTCTTGATCAATTTTGTAAGGAATCTCTGCATACAGCCACATTTAACTCTGTAGTATTGACTGTCCATTCAGGCTTATGTTACTTGGAAAAAATGGTTGTTAACATGTCAGCTGTCTCTGTTAATATATCATTTTGATTTGCATAATCCAGGACAACCTACACAGAATGAGTACCAGCATATATGAAAATAATACAAACCATTACTAACTGAAGTCATTCAATGAACAGCCTGTATTTCTTCACTATTGCCCCAGGGCAATCTGTCTTGTCTTGCTTAACAGAAGAGAAGGTGGTGTGGTGGGAATTTGAGTCAGGTGCTTGAAAAGGGATGATTTTGCTAAAAGATAATGTCAGACTTTTTTTCTCTCTTATGCAAAAATGAGGAAAAAAAAAAAAAAAAAGCACATGTGCTGCTGAGGCAGCTTTGAAATGCAAAAGTATTGAGTGAGTACACTGAGTTACTTCAAGTTCCAATTTCATTGGAAGGCAGTGTAGCGTAACTCGCATCCTTTGACTTCAGCAACATTAGGTGCTCTATGTTTTCGAAGGTTGAAGAGGTGCTTACTGATGGACGTCGAATCATCACTTTCTGCAATGGTACTAAAAAAGAGATCAGTGCTGATAAAAGGATGACAACAATCAACTTTTTCAATGGAGATGTAAAGAAGATCATGCCAGATCAGAGAGTGGTATGTCGCATTTGTTTTCTTTAAGGAAAATTGTATGGCTAAGTGATCTGTCAAACAAGTTTCTACCATTCATCTTTGTAGCAGAAATGCTAAGTCACAGCTTGAAGCAGTGATGGAGCACCTGGTGGGAAAGTAGGGCCAACCATGGGCAGCTCAGGTGTATGCAATGTACCTGAGTGACTGGAAGAGGTGGAGCTAAGATCCAGCCCTTCCCAGATCTCATTTAAAGGTTTTCAGTGGAGGCAAGGGTGTCTTGCTGGAGATTCCTGCCTACCTGAGACCTTCTGAAGGTAAGCAGATTTTTCCTTTGTTTTGATGTCTACAGCTGTTGCTTTTGAGCACACCCTCACTTGCTGTATGTAACCTAGAACTTTGCTACTACACTGGCATTGCTGCACTTTCCATGGTGTTACAGCATTAATGTTACATTACAGTATATCTTTAAATAGCATTTCTGGGATAAATTGATGAGGAAGGGTGTTGGCTTCCACAGCCCTGATTAGGGAGGACAAGAATGGAAAGAAGTGAAGGTAACAGTTGAAGAAGGGGCAAGCAGGGATTGAGCTAAGCAGATCAAAGGAAACAGGAAGAAGGCAAAATGTAGGGGAAGCCATCTGAAGAAAGGACTGCTTTTCATATATTTTAGAGTGGGTTGCACAGGAGGTCGTCCTTCTTGGCGTTAGGTAAATATGTTTAATAAGAACATGAGCTGAAGTGGGGATGAGTAAGATCTTGGCAAGAATGTGAACGCTTTAAATTATTAGTGCATAGGTTGGAGCTAGAGATCCTATCCATGGGGAGTTGAGAAGATCACTCTCATTGTTCTGCTCTACCCTAAAGAAAGTAGAAATATCTAGACAAAGCCAGGAGGAGAGGTGTGAATGAAAAAAAGGAATTAAAATGGAAACGTAATAACTTTTAGGAATGGCAGATACCTGAAGAAAATGGCCTCGAAATGACTTCTTAAAGTTGGCTTATTTTTTAAACAAGTTGCTATGGTTTAATCTTCTTATGCAAATATGACCATGCTGCAAACAGTTCACTGTCCTTCCAGATTTATTATTATGCAGATGCACAGACAACTCACACTGCTTATCCAGAGGGCCTAGAGGTGCTGCAGTTCCCTAATAATCAGATAGGTATGCAAGAATTTGTGGGTGTGAACTATATGTGTGGGAATGTCTTAATTGCATATGTGTTGTCTGAGCCTAACTCTAGCAGATTTGCTTTATTTCTTCCAATTTGCTTTGTCTTTGCCTTTTGATTTTTGGTATGATCCATGATTTTACTGCTCAATTTTCTTCTACAAAAAAAAGATAATAAAGGGGCATAAATGCATCATTTCTGTAGTTTTACTATCTCATTTGATTCTTTAGTTTATCTAGCAGTATGCTGGGTAGAATTTCTACCCTCACTACAAAGTCTAAAGTAAATCTCATCTAGCTCTGTGTAAAGTTATGAGAAAGAATTCCAAAGACATTTTTTAAATCTTGTTTTCCACAGAAAAGCATTATCCTGATGGCACACAAGAAATTGTGTTCCCTGATCACACAGTGAAATGCCTCTACAGTGATGGATTCGAGGAAACTTTTTTCCCAGATGGTACAATAGTAAAAGTAGAAAAGTAAGTCTCCTTTTAGAGAAGGGAATTGGCACTGGGCACAAGTCTAATGTTACTAGCATATACAACTGTGGTTTGATTCTGCATGACTGGAAAACTTCCATATGAAAGAGGAGATTTGGATGAGAATGAGTGCTTTGCTACAATGAGGAACTGAGAATTGTTTACTTCCACTTTGAATCACAGGTGACCTGATATCACAGGCAAAGTGACTGTGAAATATTTCTTCTTTTTGTTCTATGTGTATTTGCAGTCACTGTCAACATCTGGCCAGGGCAACAGTATAACTTGAAAGTAAAAGGGAAGCCAGTTGTTTGTATTAACAATATAGGAGTGGAGAAGAGAACTCTTAGTTTGTATTCTTTGGTATTTTACTCGCTTTCTGTTTTTGCCAAGATGTTTTAAATTCTTTGCTTCTATTCCGTCATATAAAATGAGGACAAATAACAGCAGGAATTCATTACACACGCCTATTCTATGCTTCTGTTGTAAAAGATTTTTCTATTAGCAAAATGCCTCAAGATCCCTGCATGCAGTATTCGTACAAAATACAGGTCCTGCCATCCATTATTATGTATAGAAGCACCTTTGTATTGAAACTTGATTGTGATAATTGATCTCTGATATGACCACATGTAAATTGGTGAATTAAAGTGAATTATATAACCTATGAAAGTTTCTACTTTCATTGTGCCATCTTAGACAGCTAGGTATGATAGGTTAATAACATACAGTGCTTTATGGCCCGTTTACTCACGGCTATTGCTTTCAGGAACGGCGATAAACTAGTGGTATTCAGTAATGGCCAGAAGGAGTTTCACACTGCACAGTTCAAGAGGAGGGAATACCCAGATGGAACCATAAAGACCGTGTACTGCAATGGCAGGCAAGAAACCAAGTATTTGTCTGGACGGGTTCGAATCAAAGATGAAGAGGGTAATATCATCCTAGATAACAAGTGATTCCTCCTCTCAGTGGCTGCACTGAGTAAGTGGCTCAACAAATTTTGTCTGTATGATTTAGTCTCTCTCTCCGCTGGACACGTGTTGGTTTAAAAGATTCTTTACTGATGCCTCTAATGCTTTTCTGTTGCTGTTAATTATTAAGATTAGAACATGTGAAGGAATGAAAACCACTATTTCTAATGAAATAAATTAAGGATAATACTCTCAATCCACCGTGTTCTATACAACTACAAATTGCCATCATACCACAAAGAAAAAAAAAAGCATAAAAATCTTAGTGGATGGAGACTAGTCTACATGTGTGTCCTGGAGTTATGGAGAGAGAAAAAAAAAAAAGTAATTAGAAGATGCTAAAGTACATTTTGTATCAGAAGAGGCTGAAAGTGGGGGCTCTTGAACCTGGAGAAGGCCCAGTCATACCAATGTACATAAATACCTGATAGGAGGGAATGTGGACTCTTCGGAGTAGTGCCCACTGACAAGACAGGAGGCAAAAGGCTTGCACTGACACGCACGAAGTGATACAATTATAGTCTGAGAACACTCTCTAGTGTATTTGAAGACAAAATATAACATTTATTCCTTTTTGGTCATTATTCCAGATAAAAGTGACACTTCTTGTATCTTTCTTAGAACTCTTTTGTGTTGCTTTGTTTTTGAATTAACCTCTCCCGTTACTGCCTTTATTCTTCCAGTAGTATAAACACATTTCTGGTCAGTGAATCTCAACAACTTTAAGGCTCTTTAAATTGCACTTAATACCTAGGGGGATGAATCATTTACCAGATACTACTTTCAGCTCCCTTCCCGGTAGACTGGCTGTCCATCATCTGTCTTGAATTCTTCTAAAGCACTGAAGCATTTCCCCTGTAGAACTCATCTCACTGCCCAGTGACTGAAAAGACTGAAAATTATTTCCTTGTGCCCTTCAGATTCCTGTAGCAACAAACATGTGCTCATAGAATGCTTCTCACACCTACATGCAAAGTAATTGCAAGATTATGGAACTTCTCTCTCTTCTCTTTACCTTCCAGTGGGCCAGACTGCCAATGCATCAGCGTTCATATTGCAGATCATCTTTGCAAGAAACAGATCGAGCAGAATAGAAAATGTTGTTAGTATTGATCATACACTGTTATTCATGAATTTAATTAAGGTGTTCTAAATATCCAAGAAGTTTGGTGTCAGATGGTGTGGTAATAACATTGTACTGTTTTGCTTATGTTTCATTACAACAAAGGAACACTTTTAAATCTGTGCTCTTCACTATTGAAACACTTGATACATTTTATATGTTTTGTAGAAGAAAACTCTAATCCAAAGAAATCCAAGGGATCATTCTTTTCCATGTGTTTCACTAAGAATTTCTGCTCAGTGTAGCCTCTGATTAAAACCAATGTGTGTTTTGTGTTTCTTTTTTTTCAATTGACCATTGTAAAAACAGTCAATATGATTAATTCTCTTTCAGTTTGGTTAGGAAAATTGATGTTTCTAAGGCACAAGTGCTTTTATTCTCAGGGTTTTTTTTAAACAAGGAGTGCATATTCTCCAGTTGTTATGCTTACATTCTTTTTGTTTCTACAGTAAAAATAAAAACTTGCCTTAAATTATTGGTTGCCATTCATTTATCTGCGCATATAATCCTCTATAATTTTAAGTTCAGTAAGGAATAATTTTGTTTGTGATCTGCTTGCTCCTTGGTAAATTAATCTGACTCTACTTCTAGGATGTGTTCTCCTTCTGGAATAGAAGGCATGTAGTCCTGCACAGATGTAATGCTGAAGTGATAATGTGTAACCTCCTAGGTCTCTGCACATGTTTTTCAAGCAATATTTTATAGCACAGAAGCAAAGGGATTCTTGAAGTAAGAGTTTATTAATTTAATTTAATTTTAATTTGCCATTTAATTTTCTTAGAGAGAGAAAAATAATTAATGAGACTTGGCAGGTAAGGAGCCCTTCACAGACCGATTATGACAAGTTATACTATTTTTCACAGGCTAATTCTCACACTTTGTCTCCTTTATCTTCCATTTGCTTTAGGTGATCAGGAGCTGCTTGCTCTAGTAGGTATGGTGCAGGAATACTAATAATCCAAATTTTGTGGTGCATGTTTACCTTAATTGTAGCAATATATTTGCCTACTTTGGAAAAGCCAGCTTATTATAACTTTTCCTCTGTGGTATGCAGTGAACATGCTTTTTATGAAATCTTTGGGGACATGGGACACAGCTGCAAAACCCTATTTCTCTCCACAGGTCTTCTAGCACTACAGGAAGTATGTTACAGCCAGTATCTGGCCTCAATTTTGAGACAAATCTGGAATACACTGTGGGTGACTTGTGAACAATAACTTCAGACAGCTGGGGGCAGTAAAGGTGTACAAGAGAAGAGTACTAATCTTAGAGTCTCAGATGTCTCAGTTCAGTGTTTTTTTTAATCTTCCATGCTTAATTAATCAGTGAAGAAGTTCTACTGAAAGCAAAACAAAACTGCCTAATTGCTACATCCTTTGGGTGGCTAACACAGTCTGTGAGACAGAGGTTTGATTTGCTCTTCTTGAACATAGTATTTGCAGTTTGTCCTGCCCTCCAATATCAAATTTCTTTCTCACCTTAGGAAGCCTTCTTTATCAAGGGCTTATCGGGAGGGGGGGGGGGCTGGAGGGGGGGAGAGAGAAGCACCACTGTAACAGTGTATGTCACTACATGTTTATTTTTATTTTTTTATATAACTCATTTTCCATAAGAATTTCTGCAGAATCCTACAGGTCATAAAATTTGTTTCATATTGTTGTTTCATACAGTGCAAAATTAACCTGTGGAAAGTGATGCCAAGCAGCTCACTGGATTGTTCAAAATGTTGTTTTGTGTGATTCATATAAATTGAGAGCATGTTGAATATTTCCCTTGTGTAAACTGACCAGCTTTTTCAAATCATAAAGCTGGGAAAAAAAAAAGAAGCAAAGATTTCAGAGATAAATAATAAGACAGGTATTTCTGAGGATGTTCTGAGAAATGCAATTCTCCATTTTTATTTTGAGATTACTTGTAAGAGTTATTCAGCACTTTCATTTTCAAAAATAATCTCTCATGGTAATTGCTAAATCACAATTTTTACATTGTGTATGCTTTGAAATATTTTCTTCTAATACAGCTTCAGTGCACTGCCCACATACCTTCAAGCTAACGGTGTCGTTCATGATGTCTGCATGACTTTAAATTATGAAGTTATACAGATCATGTCTTTTTTTGTCTTGCGCTATTTTGTTTGCTCACTAACTTGCTTATTTCCTTTATGATGCTCTTTACATCCGTGCTGTCCTTGGAAGCTTGAAGTGCAGCTTCATTGAAAGGAAAAATAAGCACAAAACCTCCTACCTGGCGGGTAGGCATCTGATCTTTGTCAGAGAGGAAATAGGGGCGTGTGCTTAACTTGTAGTTGCAGATTTCAGGTGAAGGTGACCACCGGCTGAGTTGTGAAGAAATGAATGGCGGATGTACAGCTGGGAGTTGTTTGTTTTTAGCTTCAATTTTTACTTGAGAGGATGTTTTTGGCTTATTCATCTTTTCCCGCAGCTGAGAAGTCAGTGTTTCCCTTGGATGTGCTCTGGCACTTTTCCTGGTCAGAGAAGACGCCTTATGAATTGATCCTCTTCCAAATTGCAGCGCAGGTTGTGTTTGAGGAGCAGAAATACAAGTAGATACTTTTTGACCAGAAAGTAAGCCAGGAGCCTCTTCTGGGGTGCTTTGACCAGCTCTTCTCCAGTGCACTTGCCTTCTAACAGCTTTTGACCCAGGCCTTTCATTCTGCCTGTGAGTGTCAACCTGCTTGTAGTTAAGTAGTTCAACAATATCGTGAAGAAGTTTTCTTTTCACAGTGTCATCAATGGAGCAGTCTAAACGCAAAGCTGGATTGTAGTTCACTTCTAAAAGCCATGGCTTGAACTTGTCATCAATCAGGATGTCAAAGCCAAAGAGTTCAAAGCAATTGGAAGCCTCTGGTAAGGGAGTGACAGCAAGCAAGGTGAGAATCACAATGTTATTCATCTTTTGCCACAGTAGCATGTCATCAACCCCAAAAATTCGAAGGTAAGAACGGAATTTGCTGAACGTCCACTTGCAACCACAGCCAATCCCTTCTTTAAATGTTTTATATGAAGCTCCGTATTTGTTGATGCTGGTGTTTGTTAGGTGGGCGTAGACATTGTCTAGAGAACTGAGGTCAAACTTCTCAGTGGCAAACCTCACCAGTCCCTCTTCATAAGTGTAAATGGTGAGTGGGCAAAAACTGGTGACACACACATAAAGGCGAAGATCCAACTTATATCCTGAAATGAGCAAGGGGTTGCTAATGTACTTCTGCACAATGACTGTACAGTGATAGACTAAGTCTTCAATGTCTTGGAAAATGAGTATGCCCCTTCCACGTGAGAGATGCACAGGTTTGCAAATCCAGTAGCTAGGTCTGCCTACTGTCTGTCTCTCTTTGCTGTATTCTGCTATAAATTTGACATAGTCATTGGGCATGATGAATGCCACTGGACTAAATTCATACAGTGTTGATCCATATGCTCCTTTCATACGTTTCAGATGCCTTGCCAAATAGTCTTTTCTGGTGATCCTGACAGCTTCTGGATAGTGGTTGAGTCTCTGCCATGGTTTAATACTGTGGTGGTCTGCCATAGGAAAAGGTGAGTTCCGCCAGTACAAGTTCCAGTCTGTGTCATCTTGCTCCTTTCGGTCAAATTCAGTCCAACCACGTTCCAGTAAAACCTCACGGATTATTGCAGGGGCATTTTCATGGAGACGGAACACCAAAGGCTTCAAGGTTTCACTTGCATTATCATCTGCCAACATTTCCATCTTACTAGCTGGAAGAAAACAGAAAGAAAACTTGTCAGGAAAGAAACAATGCTACAAGTTGTGCTAACAGTCATCAGCCTTGCTATATTCTTAACATTTGTCGCTCTCAACACGTTCTCTAAGCATATCACTCCTGTGTTTCCATTGCCCATGAAAGAGAAGTCAAAAGCTTGTTTAAGCTGAAAAGTATGTTAGAAGGGCATAAATACCAGATAGCTGTTAAGATAGTACAAAGCATTGACTGCTGAACAGTTGTACATCTTCAGTCTTGCATTTACTCTTTCTTTGAGGTAGCCTACTATAATAGCAGTTGTCCTAAAACTTCTGTAATTCATGAATATTTACTGAATATTTCAATTTCCTGATATGGAGTTTTTTGCACAGAAGAAAAATAATCTGCCAGGTATTCTTGAAACTCAGAATTTTGTTTTGAAATTCTCAGAATATCTCATTAATGTTTTTTGAACAGCCATATTCAACAGTTCTTGTTCAGAAAGACTTCTTAATGTCTTACCATTAATAAAATGTAAGTTAAGTTAACTTAAAAGTTTTGTCAGCTGCAGAACAGATTAAGGCTTATTTCATCTGCATGTGGAAAACAACTCAGAATTTCTTGCATGATATAAAACATGCTTCACTTTCCACATCTGACATCTGATAATCCTTTTCTACGATGTATTTGTTGTGGCTGTCCAATACATTTTGCTGCTGCTATCAGGCTCAATTATGGACTGTAGCTGAATTGTCCTTAGTGAGAGCTTTCCTTGGGTAAGGGTATGTAGGAAACAGGAAAGAAACATGGTAGGTACTGCAGCATAATAATGATGTAATGTGACTTAGGAACTAACACCACAAAGGTGAAAGAAAGACTTCTTTCTGTATCTCTTGCAGGCAGTGCTTCCCAGGAAGCTGAGGGTTTGCTGTTGAGCCTGCACACAAGCCTAACTTGGTAACATAGTGAACCCAGGCAATTTTTGTTGTCTTTTGCTTCTACTTTCTTTCCTGGGAGTTTTTTCCTGCCTGATATTAAACAGCAGTATGTCATGTGCTGTGTGTGTGTGTGCAAAACAGTAAGTTTTACAGTAGCTGGTTCACAATCTCAGGCAGTGATTATTACATTGAGAAAAAATGTATATACCTGAAAACAGCCATACTAAGTGTTTGGATGAGTCATCTTAGGACTGCAGTTTTGTTGGTTTTGTACTGCTAAGCATTCCTACTAGCAGTGTTTCAGTGAAAAGCACTGTTGCACAAGAATCTAGAGCAGCTATGATGACTCTGGTAGGTAATCATAAAATCAGGCTGCTAGTACTATCTGAAGAATGAAGCTGCCTTTGATGGTTTTCTATGTCAGGGTGTATTAATGGCGCATCTTTCATACCTCTGGCACTCAGGGAATAGCATAGAGGAAATTGACTTACCAAGCTTCAATATAACAACATGAGTTTCAAACTTCCAGGTAATTAAATACAAAGAAAACAATGAGAGAGCAGTTACCTGCTTTTTTTTTTTTTTTTTAAAAAAAAAAAAAGTCCTATCACAAATAAGCAGAAGCAGAAGTAATATTACGAAAGTAACTCTAGAAGATACAGTGATTTTAATGAGTGAATTTTACTCATCTATACAGACACATATCTGGATGAATGCTCACCTCATCACCTAAGAGAGTTTTGCCTGCATTCTCTGAGCTCTCCGTTTTTGGCCCATTCTTTAATAACCTGATAATCTACCCATGTGCTTGCAAACATTCATTCATCCACAGAGTGGAAATGGCTGCAGCTGCCTGTGAGTGTGCTGGAATCCAAAACCCACCAACTATTGCAGCAGATGTTCCCCTCAGAATAAGGGCTGCAGCTGTGACCTCACCGTTCCCATGGAGCTGTGTGGTGACCCTGGGGCCACCAGGCAGTCCCAACCTCTTCCAGGGCTCTAGGTCTGCCTTGACTGCTAACAGCTATTTCTGCATCACAGTTGCTTGTCTTTATACCTACTGGAAGCAGATCTTGTGAAAATTTGATTCTTAATGGTTAGGCATTGAAACTGTTTGCTTGCAGTGTTAAAGCGGACTGCCTCTGCATAGCTAAACTAAGCAGACTGACTGGTAAGTGTTTTGTACTAAAGTCCTCAAACCCTCAGGGCCGCAGACCATAACATGGGTCTGCAAGCTTCCTGCACTGGGATTCTGTCTCACAACCAACCATTCTAATCATTCCTTTAGGTCTCATTTCTGTCCAGTAAGCAGCCTCATACTACAAGGTCAGGAAGGATGCCTGCCAATCCAGCTTCATCCCATCTGGCTACACCACGTGGCCCCTCACGTGCATTGGGTGTGGGCTACCTACAACAAAAGCACGTTCCCTGACTCGCAGCACAGGGGTAAGGCTGAGAAGGTGCACGCTGTGTCTGACTGAGCAGAAGTGCTATGAGTTTAAAGGCTGGGCGTATCCCCTTGCACTGCGCTACTTCCTAGGTCAGCCTCACCCCGCGGGCCTGCCGCCCCAAACGTACCTCTGCCAGCTTCAGCCCCTTTCAGGGCCGTTCCGGCCGCAGCTGCATGCGCTCGGGGGAGCGGGAAGCGGCGGGGCCGGCTGCTGGGGCCGGAGGAAGGAAGGGACGGCGGCCGTTGCTTGGCAATAAGGAAGGGCGGGCGGAGGCCACAGAGCCTTGTCTAGCTGCTTGCGGAGGGACGTCCTGCTGCCTTTTCCCCCTTCCCCCCGGGCTTTCGTCCTGTTACGGTGGGAACTGTTAATGCATCAGCATTAATTACTTGAAGTTGACTGTCTTAAGCTCCAGCTGGTGCTATGATGCATGGTGTGCCCGCCACCTGCCTCCTCAGCAACGGACATTGCGTGACCCAGCTCAGTCCGTGAGCTCTCAGGGAGAACTCATCGCACACTGGCTGAGGGGAGCTGCTGCTTCCTTGCAGGATGAACGCAGCTGTGGCTGTGGGAGAGATCAGAACCTGCGTGGTAGTGCAGCATGGGCTGAAGGTGAGCCTGTGCCCTGCTGCTGGACCTCAGCGCAGACAGACCTGAGCTGCTTGCTGCCTGACAGTCATGTTCTGGTACAAGGTGTAGACGTAGCCAGACTGTAACAGAACGCTATTCACAGCGAGTGCTTAAAAAAGGCAGGATGAGAAGAATATAAATCTTTATAAATGGTGACTCCACGATCATAGATCACTGGAACCGTTATATGCATTTCCTGTAATCAGGTAAGCAATTCCAGTGGCTGCCATCTTCTGATGTTGCATGTGGTTTTTTCAGCTTTGATTGTAAACCTGTACCAGGTCTGATCCACAAATACAAAATTGTTAGGACTTTAAGAGTCTTGTATACATTTATCCAGACTTTATTAATTAAAAAAAGAGAGATGTTTAGTTGTATGAAAGGATGAAGTCAGGTAATCTTCCTTCATAAGGCTGAAAGGTCAAGAGAAATTTTTACTCCTAAGACATTTGTATTTTGTTGGCCCCAAAATCTGTTTGAAACTGTTGAACTTGGAACACCTGTGGAAACCTGCCTGTAGGAGATGACCTTGATTACTCTGACCCAAATGGGTTAGATATGTGTTTCCTGGGTGTGAGGTCCCTTATTTTCTTTTTCTGTAGTAGCAGGTGTCCCAGAGGATCTCTTTGCTTCCAGGTACTCAACCATTCCATATGTCACCATAGACAACATAAGCACAGCCAGTAAAATGTACAGCTTGATGTAGACTCGCAGTGTGGTGCTGTAACCAAAGGCAATGACGAATCCACATGATTCCCAGAGACGGTAATTTGCAAAGGCAGCCTCTGTGTGCTTCTCAAATAAAACACCATAAAGTCCTGAATGAAAACAAGGAGACAAGGTTTGTGAAGGTTAAGTTTGAAACTACGTATTTTCTGCAGCAGAGATAAATAGGCCACGTCAGGGAAAATGAACCTTTCCTCTTAAGGAGAGAAGAAAGTGCAAACTTTGTTGTAGAATATTTTTGCGCTCATATGAATTGCGATAAGTTAAAAAACAGCAAAAACAACAAAAAAGCAAATAACAGAGGAAAAAGGGAAAGAAAATGAGAGGAAAAAAAGATGTGTGGTCTCAAAGTGAAATGATAGGAAGTTTGTTTTTCAAATTATCAGCCGGAAATGGGGAAGGTTTGTAGGCAAGTCCTTACATACTGTTGTGTTGTCTTGAAAGCTCCCTCTGAGTTTGGTCAGCTGCATCCCCATGCCTGGGATTCAGGCAGGGATTCCCACCTCTGGGTTCTACTGGTGAAGCACCAAGGGAAGGGCAGAGGGCTCACTTTCCTCTGGGTGCTGAGCTAGCATTGGTGGTGATAACAAAGCCAGTGTTTCCACTGACTCAGCTGTGGTGAGTAGGAAGGAACGTGATGAACCTTGACTTCGCTCATTCATTTCTGTATCTAACAACTTGTATATTTGAAATATGCATATTCAGCCAAAAGACAAAGAGAACAAAGTTCTCTAGAATGCTGGATCTTAATTACCAACCTTGCCAAGTGCAGTATGGCACCAGTATGGCTGACTGGAGCTGTGGAAGGGTCCACTAGGCTGGCTGAGTGCATGGGCTTGCTGCTAGGTCTGAATTCTTGTTGGTAGCTATAGAGCCTCACTTTCATGGAAATTCTGTCCTAATTCTGTCCTGCCTGCTTTCCCATTCCTACAGCCTCTTCACCTTGCTCTGTTGGTAGGCATGAATGTGGAAAAGGACTGCTGAAAATAATTTTTGTCCAGGTTTATAAACTTTCCAGTCTGGTTCACATCCTTTCTAAATGCACATGTAATGCTCGAGAGCTTTATTTTATTTATTTATTTCTACCTGTGCTGCACAATTGTCCTTGAAGTGTGTTTATTGCCAGGAAGGTGATAACAGCAACTGTGCTCAACTTAGATAAGAGAGGGAAGTACACACTCTGAAATGAAGTAGGTTTCAACTGGTAATGGAGTGCACATATGTACACAAACATATCAGGAAACTTTGTAACATGAAATGACTCATCTATTGTT